AAAAAAAAAAAAAAAGAAATCTTCCCAGCCCCCTTTGACTTTCTGAGGACAGGTTTTCATTAGGCAGTGTCTCACTTCTGCTTCCCATGTGGCCCTAAGGGCTCTCATCAGAACTGGGTCTCTGGGGTCACACCGATCCCTAGCAGAACCTGCCATGTAAGGCCTTCGGGTCACCCCAGTAACAGAGTATGTGCACTCACTGAGGGGTGAGAGCCAGGGCCCCGCTTCCTTGTCCACAGGAAGTGCTCACAGCCTGACCTGCCCAGCCCTCTGGAGTTAGTTATGGCCAAGGGAATGAGAATTTTGCCACAAGCTCTAAGAGCATTAACCTATTTGTGGCTTCCCTGGTATTTTTAAATAGCACAGGACAGTGCGGGTATCTTTTGACCAGGGAGCTGTAGATTTTTTCTGCAATTTTTAGTAAGTTGGATTGGGCAGGGAGGGTGCTAGGGATCAGTCTCAGGGGCATCACGGATGCCAGGGACACTGCCACTGAGCTGCATGCTAAGCTGGACATTAAAAACAACGTTCTTTTATCATTGTCTACATGCAGGGCTCTTAGCTAATGAAGCAGGTCCTGAGACTGAGCTGAACCAGAGCAGGAGACTTCTAGCCCTGTTCCAGAACAGTCCTTGGCTTGTCCTTCACGGGGACCACTGAGCAAGCCAGGGCCGCACAGGTAGCCTTGGAGTCTGAGCCACAGGGAGGCGGTGCTAGGAAGTCAGTGCTCTTGGCCGCGTGACTGATGTTTGGTGGCACAGAGACTTGCTGTCAGGGCCGTGGTGAGCTCCGTCCTCCACTGCCTCTCCCAGGCCAGCAGCAGGTGTGGCCCTGGCCAGCTGCATCTTCCTTAGCAGAGGGGGAGCTCAAGCCATTGTCAGCTACCCAGGGAATGTCTCTGGGAGCCAGGGAGGCTGCAGGAGCACAGAGCTGGGGTGCTGGCCTTCTGGGGGCCTTGCTTCTCTTCCCAGAGTCTGGTAAGGGTGGCATTGCCCTGTGGCCCAGGACAGCCCAGGAGGCCTCTGGAGTAGCATCGGGCAACAGCATCTCTTCCTTTGGGACAAGGCTGCGTGTCACCTGGGCTTGCTGCCCCCAGGGACTGCCCTGGAGCTGCTGCCTAAGCTAGGAGCTGTCCCTAGCAGTGGTCAAGGCAGGAGAAAGGACCTGCAGGGCAGCTTTCGGTCGCATGGGAGCCAGAGTGAGGTGGGTGGTGATTGTGGGACACTGAACGGCTTCCGGAGCACCGGAGTGTCCAGCGGTGCCTAGCGTCCTTTCTGTCCCAGAGGCTCCCTGCTCCGTGCTTCCCATTCTGAGTTCAGAGCCTGAGTCTCCCCGGATGGAGCTTCCTGCGTGGATGAGCCTGGATTTGCAGGCAGATGCTGAAGGCCCAGCTCACCCCCACTCTGCTTTTCCTGCTTCATGACCGCTGGGTGTCCTCCTCGCCCATCTTTGCTCATTATTCTCTGTGTCATGGTGTCTTCTTAGAGGGATGGTAGCCACGTTGGATCAGGCCCCAGCCGGATGACCTGGTTTTCAGTTTATTCATTACTTTGCTAAAGGTTCTGTCTCAGCCAACTTGGGGCACATGCCTGTAAGCCTAGTTACTCAGGAGACCAGGTCAGGAGGTCCACCAGTTTGAATCTGGCCTGGACCATTTAGAAAGATCTTGTCTCATTTTTTTTTTTTAATCTTTTTTATTTTATTTTATTTTTTTTTTAATTTTTTTTTTATT